GCGTTTTAAGGCATGTTTACACTTTCTGGAACACCTGAGGCCCCTTTGCGATTGAGTCTGTCTAAAATGTGGTATTTTAAGAGAGTTCACATAGTTGGATTAACTTTTCTTTACTGACGGACTGACCTGTGAGGAATAACAGTTCTTTGACGCGTCTGACGTGTTTTCATCTCTTTGACGCGTCTGACGTGTGTACTGACGTATTGACGTGTGACGAAGACCAGTCCTTTGACTTGTTTACTGACGTACTGATGTTTTTACCTACTGAGGTGTGTTTAAAACTCGACCTAAAGGTTTTAAGGCATACTTATACTTTCTGGAACACCTGAGGTCACTTTGCGATTGAGTCTGTCAAAAACGTGGTATTTTAAGAGAGTTCACATAATTTGATTAACTTTTCTTTACTGAAGGACTAACTTGTGAGGAATAACAGTTCTTTGACGCGTCTGACGTGTTTTCATTTCTTTGACGCGTCTGACGTGTGTACTGACGTATTGACGTGTGACGAAGACTAGTTCTGAGACGTGTTTACTGACGGTTTTGAGTCTTAACCTACTAGAATGTGTTTAAAACTCGATCTAATCGTTTTAAGGCATACTTACACTTTCTGGTACACCTGAGGCCACTTTGCGATTGAGTCTGTCAACAATTAAGGCAGTTGTTTTAAGAGAGTTCACATAGTTTGATTAACTTTTCTTTACTGACGGAATGACTTGTGAGGAATAACAGTTCTTTGACGCGTCTGACGTGTTTTCATCTCTTTGACGCGTCTGACGTGTGTACTGACGTATTGACGTGTGACGAAGACCAGTTCTTTGAAGTGTTTACTGACGGATTGAAGTTTTCACGAAATGAGGTGTGTTTAAAACTCGACCTAAGCGTTTTAAGGCATGTTTACACTTTCTGAAACACCTGAGACCACTTTGCGATTGAGTGTGTCTAAAGTGTGGTATTTTAAGAGGGTTCACATAGTTTGATTAACTTTTCTTTACTGACAGACTGACTTGTAATGAATAACAGTTCTTTGGCGCGTCTGACGTGTGTACTGACGTATTGACGTGTGACGAAGACCAGTTCTTTGACGTGTTAACTGACGTATTGAAGTTTTCACGTAATGAGGTGTGTTTAAAACTCGACCTAAGCGTTTTAAGGCATGTTTACACTTTCCGGAACACCTGAGACCACTTTGCGATTGAGTGTGTCTAAAGTGTGGTATTTTAAGAGGGTTCATATAGTTTGATTAACTTTCCTTTACTGACGGGCTGACTTATGAGGAATAAGAGTTCTTTGACGCGTCTGACGTGTTTTCATCTCTTTGACGCGTCTGACGTGTGTACTGACGTATTGACGTGTGACGAAGACCATTTCTTTGACGTGTTTACTGACGGATTTGAGTTTTAACCTACTGAGGTGTGTTTAAAACTCGACCTAAACGTTTTAAGGAATACTTACATTTTCTGGAACACCTGAGACCACTTTGCGATTGAGTCTGTCAAAAATGTGATATTTTAAGAGAGTTCACATAGTTTGATTAACTTTTCTTTACTGACCTGAGAGGGATAACAGTTCTTTGACGCGTTTGGCGTGTTTTTATTTCGTTGACGCGTCCGAAGTGTTTTTATTTCGTTCACGCCTCTGACGTGTGTACTGACGTATTGGCGTGTGACGAAGACCAGTTCATTGACGTGTTTACTGACGGATTTGAGTTTTAACCTACTGAGGTGTGTTTAAAACTCGACCTAAACGTTTTAAGGCATGCTTACTCTTTTTGGAACACCTGAGACCTCTTTGCGATTGATGTGGTATTTTAAGAGAGTTCACATAGTTTGATTAACTTTTCTTTACTGACGGACTGACTTGTGAGGAATAAAAGTTCTCTGCCGTGTTTTCATCTCTTTGACGCGTCTGACGTGTGTACTGACGTATTGACGTGTGACGAAGACCATTTCTTGGACGTGTTTACTGACGGATTTGAGTTTTAACCTACTGAGGTGTGTTTAAAACTCGACCTAAGCGTTTTAAGGCATGTTTACACTTTCTGAAACACCTGAGACCACTTTGCGATTGAGTGTGTCTAAAGTGTGGTATTTTAAGAGGGTTCACATAGTTTGATTAACTTTTCTTTACTGACAGACTGACTTGTAATGAATTACAGTTCTTTGACGCGTCTGGCGTGTTTTGTTCTGGAGTGCTTACTGACGTACTGATGTTTTTACCTACTGAGGTGTGTTTAAAACTCGACCTAAACGTTTTAAGGCATACTTATACTTTCTGGAACACCTGAGGTCACTTTGCGATTGAGCCTGTCAAAAATGTGATATTTTAAGAGAGTTCACATAGTTTGATTAACTTTTCTTTACTGACGGACTGACTTAAGAGGGATAACAGTTCTTTGACGCTTCTGACGTGTGTACTGACGTATTGACGTGTGGCGAAAACCAGTTCTTTGACGTATTTACTGACGTACTGATGTTTTTACCTACTGAGATGTGTTTAAAACTCGACCTAAACGTTTTAAGGCATGGTTACACTTTCCGGAACACCTGAGGCCACTTTGCGATTGAGTCTGCCAACAATTAAGGCAGTTGTTTTGAGAGAGTTCACATAGTTATTTTATTTTTCATTGCATTCACTTTCTGGAACACCTTATCCCAGTTTGCGATTGAGTCTGTCAACCAGGCAGTTGTTTTAAACCCCACTATAAATCATTGAGAAAATATTTTTTTTCTCTTTATAAATAAGTAATAATTCTTAAATTTGTACGCGGCACTAATTGAATTGAAATGACTGTAAAGAATGGCGATTTGTTTTGCAAATTTCTTAAAATTTCGTTTTTTGATGTAGTAGTTTTTATAAACATAAGTTATAAGTTTGTACGGTAGCATCGACGTATTGACGTGTCTGGCGTGTTTACTGACGTGTTTGACGTATATACTGACGGGTCTGACGTGTTTACTGACGTACTGACGTGTGACGGAGACCTTACTCTTGGAAATATGAATAATTATGCGGGCAAAACTGTGTCAAAAAGAGCAACAAATATGTCATGCTGTATATAGAGGTATGTGCAATTATTTTATTTGTTTGTAAACATTACTCGCGTGCGATACTACATTCCTACAGTGTCGTGTTCGAGATCTGTTCTTGAGTTTACTGAAGATGACAAATTCTGCAAGGAGGGTCAAGCCCGTAGTTTAAATATTTTACTGTAGGACATATGTTTGATCACAGAACTGTATACTGACAGTATACAGTTCAAAGGTTTGATAAAGAGCTTTCATTACTTGACTGAAATCATAATTCATGGTAATCGACTATAGATGTCCAACTCTAGTGACTCGTGTCGTTCTGATCATGTTGGTGGAATACTTGCGTCTAACGTAAACAAACCAATTTATAAAGGTATAGAAAATAACTTTTTAGAGTGTATTGAAATGTTAACTACTTTTGAATTCTCCTGACCATATCTATGGTCGAATATATTATTCTAGTGTATTCTGTTTTGTATGTAGACTTAATTGACTAAGATTATTATGATATTCTTTATTTTATAAACCAGACAACTTCAACTTTCCTTTAGTACATGGGCATGTGTAGGAATATTGCAATTTCAACACAATTCAGCAATGTTGAACAAGTCAAATTTGAATAGAGTTAGATAAAATGTTATATCTATATAAGAATAACAATGCAATTTATTCCAATGGCTTCCTGATATTATGTTAATCCAACACAATAATTGATAAAGGTTAACAGTTCTTAATTAGTTTATTATATATATGTTATGTTATATATATGTTATTATATATGTTAATTAAGGGAGGAAACCACTTAGAATAGGGGAGGAAACCACTAGGATTAAAAAGAGGTTGAAACCACTGGGGGGAAACCACTAGGGAGGAACTTGTAAAGGGAGGAAACCACTACATGCCTGTAGGACTAGTGGTTTCCCCCTTTGGCTTTACAAGTTCCTCCACAGTGGTTTCTACCTCTTCTAGGAAGTTTCCTCCCCTAATAAGATTAAAATAAACTAATTAAAAATCTAATCATATAGAAGTAGGAAGGTAAACATTAAGGACTTAACACATTTTTAATTATTAAGAATAATACAAAATATATGGATATACAGTCAAGTAACCTAATTTTGTGCTAACCTATTTTTCGTGCATTTCCGGAAAGGATTAATAATTTACATGTGCGACCTCGCGTAACTCCACATTTGCTTGTTTTGATAAACATGGGTTTTCTGTACAATGTCAGCTAGTAGAATGAATCCAGTAGTTTCAAGCAAAGTAAAATGTATTAATGTTTACTTTGACAAATACAAAATGGCGGATTTTAGTTATTACCAAACGTCACCATTTTTTAGCAGCCGAATTTCCTTATAATCCCAAGCTGTCATCGGAATTCCAAGTGTCGTCTGCTAGAATGTAGTCCAACGAATGAAGTCACGTGATCAACTAGTGGATTCCGTGTCAGCAGAAAAATTCTATAGAACACAATGTGGGCCGTATTCTTATGTTGTTTCAATGACTTTTAGCAATAAATCACGCTACATATCTTATTTTGTCAGTCACTATTTTTTTTTAAGTCATGGTTCTTTGAAGGAATTGTCACAAGTTATAATGAATCAATATTAAAGATAAATACTAAGAGAAGTTAATTATATCACCTGGTACCACCAACTTTTATATAAAAATTCTTTTCACCCAAAACATACTTTTACTGGAATAATCAATCAATTTTAGAATTTGCACTCAAAAAGTAGATTTTGATGCAGCTTGTAGACTAGTTTTCTGTATATTAAGAGAGAGGGGCTATTCCAAACGATTCTTGTCCAAAATTAAAAATGACACTGTTTTGGACCTTTTGAAAATTAATGAATCCCCTCCTCCAATAAATAACTTTGGCGCAATACCATGTAGAGGTTCTCGGTGTTGCACCTGTGAACATATTCATATGTCTCATTATTTTCAAAATAAAAAAACTGGAAAAATATTTGAAATTAAAGAACGTCTCACGTGTACGGATAAAAATATCATTTTACCTAATTTCATGTAAAAAATGTGACAAACAATACGTCGACGAGACCCAGAACGCGATTTAGCGGCTATCGCTTTGATATAATTCATAGCAAAAATAGACCAATTTCTCATCATTTTAATTTACCTGACCATTCCATTGAAGACCTTCTTATCATGCCTATTGAATCAATTCCTGACTCTGATCTTATCAAACCAAAAACCAAACTATTACAGAGAGAAAGCTACTGGATGGACCAACTCCAAACAGTGGCTCCAAATGGACTTAATATCCAGCATGATAATCAAATGATTCCATTTGTTGCCACCTTTAATCATACAGCTGCCAAAACCTCATCCATCATCAAACAGTATTACAGTGAATAACAGAACAGATTTCCGAATGTATATACCAAACGACTTGTAATTGCCTATAAGCACAATAAAAGCCTTAGTAATTTTCTGGTCTGTGGTAGACTCGATCCCATTGAATCCAATAATACTTGACCCCCCTCTCTATTTTCTAGCTCATTAAGTATAATATATTCTAATCCTTATATATAGATGTTTATCTTTTCAGAACCTATTCATACTCTTTTCTTTTAGAACTGGTAACAAGAAAACTTTCATATTATAGACTTTTGTTTATTGTAGATTACTCGTGGTTGTTTTTTTAACTTAACACTAACTATGCTAACTTCACCTTATCTTGTATTGAACATTTATCTCTTTATTTGTGACCTTGGCCAGTGCTTTACATTGAAGTTTTTAGAAACTTCTTCACTCTTAACACCCGGTATCAATACAACATGTTTTTCTCGACTTATTTATAGATAAAACATTGTACACGAAAATAGGTGACTCATTTTGCTGCCGTTGTCATCTTGGTTACTCATGAAATATGGGTCAAAGTGAGGGATTCATAAAAAGAATTGAAAGAAACCTATTTTAATTATACTGTAGAATATCTGAGGAAACATCTAAGACGACGAAATTCGGTGTTGAATCCTTATATGCACGAAAATAGGTTACACCACTGTATATATCTTGTGTTATTAATAATTAAAAATCTGCAAAGTTCTTTATGAAATTTGTTCCATAGTAGTGCATTTTACAATCAGTGAAATGTATTTCAGATGTCAAAGTCGGAGCCATCAAGCCTAAAATCAATAGCTACTATAATCTGCAGTGAAGCTATATTAAACCTATATGATGATGGCAAAGGAGATAGTAGAAATTATTTAATTCAAACCTTATTATCAGATGATTATGGTGACATAGCCTTATCAATACTTGAAAGAATCATAAACTTTTACCCTTCATTCCTGACTGATGAATTACTCTTCACTCTGATACCGGAACTTTGCAAGAAATTAAGACTTGGGAAATGTCAGCAAATAACAGGATGCAATCTGTTGAAAGTTGTACAAAAGTAAGTTAAGTGATTCACAATTTATATCGCTAGTATACTGGGTTTGGTATGAAATTGAAACTACCCAACACACCAACATTATCATGGCAAATATTATGGCTAATTTTAGGACCATAAACTACAACTGGATATAAAAAATGTTTGGTGATGGCAATATAATCTAATGGCAGAAAAACAGATTGGTATATATGAAATTTGTTATCTTAGCTCCAGAGCAGATATTATTCTATGATATTTCAACTGTTGGAATTTAAAAAAAGTAGGGTAATTTTGTGATCTTGGTAAAAATTCCTGACTGCACATTGCATGGAAGAAGTCAAAACTGAAGCAGAACTCCCATTTTATTCCATTCACATGATCGCAAGGATTATTATTGTAACATTGAAACATCTGTCTAGTATAGCGCTTTAGATTCATTAAGATACCTTAATTTGTCTTTCATCCCATAAATTTTGTAAGCTTTGATTACTAATCATAATATAATGTAAAGTAAAATAAAGTTGGCCAGTGACAGTAGGAAATTTCCATACAAGAATCCCATAGTCCATATTGGGACTGACTTTCCCGCCAGCTAGTGGCGTTGCACCTAGTTGCATCAACAGGTCGACTAACCTAATTCATAAAAGAGTTCTTCCCATTGAAACTCAATAACACAAAAAAAACTGTATTACTGTACTGTGTTTTGACCCTTTTCCATCTCAGTGTAGGCTAGTACTGCATCAATTTTGTGAACTTTGGGTGGCCAAAACTAACAACTTTGGTAGATCGCCTCTGCAAGTGACCCGAGACGCTATCGCAATTGACAGAGACATCCTACGCATTTGACCTGAATCGCCTCCGCATAGGCAGTTCGCTTCTGCAACTGACCTGGGACGCCTCCACCTTTAGCAAAAATAGAGGTGAAGCTTTCACTTGTGCATAGATGCCCCTGAAGAGTTCAATCAAGAGCGAAACTGGTCGGGCTATACCATACCTAAGAAAGGGTATTTTCAAGTTACTCTTTCCCTTTTAAGTCATAATAAAATGTATATTTGATGTATTTTAACTTATGTATTATAAAGGTGCCAGTTGTTAGAGATATTTGATATAGGTGGATGTGAACAGTTAATGTTGCCAGCATTATTTAGTGTTCTTGGTGGATTATTGTTAAATTTAACAACAGTTGATATTAGTGATTGTAGAACTATCACAGATGAAATTGTACAGGTAACTCACTTCCATCATCTTCCACTATAGTAGATCTCTACTGTAATGGTTATCATCATATTTTTTTAGATTCTCTCATTCTCTCATGTTACTTTTTTTTCAACATATAAAAATTTCATAACTTTGATTTTCAACTGATCCTCTCTTCTTACGTAATTTTGATATTTTTTCAGGATCTGTTAAAAAGTTCAAGATCATTGAATCATTTGAATGTTTCAAACTCTGACAGCCTTACTGATGATGCCTTTCTTTTAGATTTAGAATCTCAGGATATGAATCTTATTATTTCACAGGTATGCCACTGTATTACATATTGTTTCTCTGTTTTTACCAGAAGATGTGCTGCATGAAATACAGGTGCTTTTGCATCATCACCAATCTCAGAGTTTATATTTCTTTTGTAGAAATAAGTTTGTTTAACCTTGCATTTACCTTTTGCTAACTAGCCTTGATAGGTAGGCCTTGTGTCCTTTAAGGCTAATCAAAGATAGAATTATCAGAGGCTGCAAAATAACTATTACGTATGTGACATACGGTATGTCTAATTTTAAGTTTTTAGTAATATTGATACAGTTTTCGCAAATATGTTCAACGATGAAAAGAAATTTTTCATGAATTAATTGTCTTCATCCCTTATTTACAGAAAGAATGTGGATTTAAAGAGACGGGTGTGAATATTAAAACTATTAATATATCAGCATGTGAAAATCTGACCAGTTTATCTGTAGCTTATATTTGTGCTTTAAGTGGACCGAATCTTCACAGTATTAATATGTCCTATACTAAGGTAAAAACTTTTTTTCTAATTTTCCTGAGTGCTTGAGTCTTGTCTAGTTGTTAAAGGGGTGGATTCACCATCCATTCAAACAATCCTACCTTAGTCTCAGAAAGGAATTTTTTAGGTAAGGTAAGCTGTTCAAATGTGAGCCTTCAAATCCATAGGTGTCTATTATTATCCGCGTTTGAAAGTTAAAATTAGCAATTTTTGTTTTCCTTGAGACTACGCCATATATAAAAAAGACGTATTTATAGAAATAGAAAAAGAGATCCTTAGTTTGAGGTATATTTGAAGTGATTATGCAATTATATGCAATTCTGCTACTTCTTAAGACTATAGACATATATTCAAGACCTAAATAAACTCCGGAAAATGACAAACCATGGCCTTTAAGATATTTAAATTGCAATACAAGAATGACAAAAATATTATTCTATTTGTTGATAGATACTAAGGGCTTCAATTTTGCATTTTTTAGATTTCCAGCATAGCTTTGTTATACCTTTCTGGCTATTCTCTATCTCTTGTTGTAAACTTATTACTAACCACCCAACAGCTATATAGTCCAGAGTGTGGGGTGATGTCAGAGCTATTGGTTAAATTGAAACATAAATGTTTAGGTAAATTTCATTATTTTACAAGATGGTATATTGATTCAAGATCAGTCTAATTAAAATTAGACCTAACTTCAGTTCATATTTTATTAGTTTCGTTTCGAATGTTTTATTAGCTATTAGCTTTGTACGTAACCACTACAGTAAGGTCTAACACTGTCCCACTAATTTTCACATAATTAATATACTTATCTATTGCTCTGTGACCTAGGCCAGTGCTTTCATTGAGACTCGTATCAATACACCCTAACACTGTCCTTCTTGACTTTTTATTCTGTTAACCTTTGCTTGACCTCTGGTTTAACCAATCATGTGGCTGCCCTTTCCAGTGAAGGGATAATGTGGTATTAGACTAGCGGACTTGATAAGCTAGTCAAATATGCCTCGAAGTCAAGCACAGGTTAACAGAATGAAAAGTCAATAAAAAGCTAATAAAACATTCTAAACGAAACTAAAAAAATACGAATGGAAGTTAGGTCTAATTTCAATTAGACTGATTCAAGAGCTGAAATATTAATCCTTACTTTAGAACAATACATAATTTTTTTTTTTTTTTGCAAATAATCACATGTGAGTGCTTTTGTGGATTCAGACCACAACCACTTCTCATTTTGCCCTTTTTTCAGTTCATGAAACGGTTTTATCCCAGCAAATCTTAATCTTTATGTGTCTATTATAATTTTAGGACAAAGAAATTGCTTTTCAAATGAAGGATTCTGTGATTGTTTGCAAAAAGTCCAACAAAAAGTAATGGAAAATGATTCTATAGATGACATATTGGACAAAAATTCCACTGATGACCAGTGTTCTAGCAGTTGTATAAAAGCTCTTAGTCAGTCTGATAACATTGATTGTGAAAATATTCGGAGCATTGATGAATTAAATCAAGAATCATCTACTGTTGAGATTGATTGTGAATTGTGGCTTCAGTATTATGTTCCCTACCTGAAGTCTATTAACTATTCAGTGATAAGAACTAACATCAGTCCTATTGTTTTCCCAGTGTTTTTTAAGAGTGTTAAACTTTTTCACCTGACAATAAGTATACAGTGTTTACAGGGAGAAATAGCTGATATTTTTATTTCAACACAAACTGATTTAATGGAACTTTGTCTGACACCAGAAGTTGAATTAATATCTGATTCTGTCATCAAACTTGCCCAACTTCCCCTCCAGCTGTCTAAAATAGATTTTACAAGTAGGTATTTTGTTTAACTGTTTTAAGGCATTACATCTAGAAGACTAGAACATGATACAATTTATGAATAACAATCTATGGATTACATTGCATCATGTTTCAACAAGATATCACTAGTCATTCTCAAGTGTTGACAAAGTTACACAAATATATGTTCTATATATTGCTGTTGATGTGATATTGAGATATTAGCATGTAAATTCCATATATGATAGTTATTGTCCAACATCATTTAATTATCGGGGATTAACCCTTATATTTCTTCGCTATCCACGTATTCTCGAAACAATCCTAGCACCAGGATGTTCTAGAACAGTCCTAAAAGTTAAGACCTTATCCTATTCTATTCTGGAAAATGATCCTTAACCAAGACAGTTTAACTTAGAACAGGAACAGGTAAGGGAGTTGTCCCAGACGTATCCCAGCTTCAGACAATAGCTTTAAATAACAATAATCAGAACTTATATTTAGGTATTATAGATTATTATAGACTTCTATATGAAAACATTAAAAATAGGCAATGAAATAAAATTATTAATGCACTTGTCTTTGTTTTCAATCTTATCTAACAATGAATGTTTTCCTTGCTGCTGCGCTAACTTTAAATTCTACTTTGAGTGTCAAGAATGTCATTTAGTGAATTTTTTAGAGTTATGTAGGGTTGAGATTGGCCTATCCTATAATGGGATAAGATAGACAAGTTAGGATATCTGTAGGACTGTTTTGAGAATAGGAAGAATCATTAATTTATGATGTTTTACTACCTGTCCAAAGTGCCTAGAATTGGTCCTAGCGAAGATCACAGTATTCACTATAATATAAGTATATTTGATATATTTTCTTTTGTATTTCAGGTTTGTTTATGTTATCTGATGTATCTATAATTCCATTAATATCAGAAAATCTGGCCATTGTTAAATTATCAGAATGTGGCATTACAGACTTAACACTCAAACTTCTTGCTAAGAAATCATCGGTAAGCTAAAACGAGATGTTTTCTAGTGATATACACAGATTTTTATCAATCTATTTATGATATATCACTACATTTGCCTTATTTTAATATGAGTATCTTAAATGTTACTGTTGTTAAATGTTACAGTTAAAATGGTTAGATCTATCATGGTGTGAAGAAATAACAGAGACAGGAATAAGTTGTTTTACTAAATCATGTGGACTATTAGAATATCTTAATTTACGTCATTGTGATGTGAATAATCAGATATTGTATAATATTGCCGAGAATTGTCAGCTGATCAAAGATTTAAATTTATCATGTATTGAAGGGTTATTAGATGAAGCTGTTATTGAAATAGCTGATAATCTGCCATTTTTAGAAGAAATTGATATAAGTTGGAATTCAGGTAATTATGTTTTTGTTAGTAGTGTGTTAGTGAATCCCTAACACCTAAATGATATCTTATGCTCTGATCTGATCCTGATGTGTAGTGACACCTGTACAAAGCTTTTACCTTGGGTGCCAGTTAGATACAAATCTCACATAATAGAAATGATATGAAATGAATGAATGAATCTTACTTTTTTGATCCGTTTAAAAGATTTCTAAAATACGAATATTGTTTTTTTTGTATTATATGAATAGGATTAATTTGTAGAAATAACAGATAAAAGTATTGTAGCATTGTTTACATGTAGTAAAAACTTGAGAGTTGGAACTTTTAGTGGTAATAAGAGAATAACATCAGAACCAATGTATCTTTTAGTTACAGGTAGGAATTAAGGTTTTTTTTATAGGTCGAATACTTGACATTGTGAATATTGCTGTTGCGATCCGTTTCTGGCAAACTGATCGGACAATATTTAAATGATGCACTTTCCGGGATTATGCCACATGCTGAAATTATAATTTTTGTTACAATACAGCGAACAGAGTCATTTCTGTAATTTGATTGTGTTGTTCTAGATCTTAAAAATTGGATGCAAAGTCAACATTCAAAAAAGTTTTTAAGAAGACAGAAGAAACAGTTACACGATCAAGAATATTTTGATTATAGAAGTGATGATGAGGTGAGGTGCTATTTTTGTATAAATGCCAATAAAAAACATTATAACATGGTGACAATTTGTCTCGTAGTACAGATTTTGGATGTCAGATTATATAGTTTTTATATGCCCACATTATAATGTTAATAAAGTTCAGTATACATCAAATGAATCGCTGTACTACTAGTGGTATTGGTGATCCCATCAAAAAGTCTTCTGTGATTGGTTATTGCTGCCTGTTTTTTCTTTTTGGAATCACCACATTATAATGTGGACGTATATTGTCGTCACCCATGTCCGTCTGTCTGATTTGAATGAAATTTAGTGTGATCATTTATATTGATGAGATCTTGGACAAGTTTGATGTTTACGATTTTTCGATGAACGTTTTTTGAGTTATTGCCCTTGATTTATGAAAAACGCATCCAAATTTGTTTGTGAACAGAATAGAGAGTTCAATTTTCATCCTATTTAAATCAAATTTGATATGATCATTTATAATGATGACATCTTAGTCAAGATTGAATCTGACAATTTTTCGATCAACGGAATTTGAGTCATTTCCCTTGGTAAAAACTCATCAAAATTTGTTGGTGATAGAGGTGACAGTTTATGTCAGAATTTTTTTAAATAATGTGTGTTTGTTTAAATCAACAATATCTTGCACAAATTAAATTTTTGGTATGATTTGACACAGATAGGTGACTGCCCTTGATATACTGAAAATGTATCAGGAAAGTGGGCATATCTTGCTAGGCAACCACTTGTTTGATTTCATTATCATTGACTTTTGAAATGGAATTTAGAATTCATACAGTGGTGTAACCTATTTTCATGCATAAAGGATTTAACTCTGAATTTCGTCAGATTTAAAAAACTCTTAATTTTTCTACTGAGACAGAATCCGATAGTTCGTCACATGACGTTGTTCGCTAAAATATATTCTAGCAGTCGACACTTGGAATTTCGATTACAGCTTGGGATAGTGATATTTGGTAATAACTGAAATCCTCCATTTTGTTTAGGTCAAAGTATACATTATTACATTCTACCTTGCTTGAAACTACTGAATTTATTCTGCTAGCTGACATTGTACATATAACCCATGTTCATCAAAACAAGCAAATGTGGAGGTCACACATGTAAATTATTAATCATTTCCAGAGATGCACGAAATATAGGTTACTTGACTGTATATCTAATGCAGTGATTGATTTGTTAAAATAATTGATTCATAGATAATTTCTTAATTTGGAATAGCTTGATATTTGTGATATCAATATTTTGTGAATGTTCTAACATCAATGAAAAACTGTTACATATTTAATTTATTATTGACAGGAGGATATAGAAAATTATCTACCAAGAAGGTCAGCTATATATGGTTGTAATTTGAAGAAAATTAATCTTGAGTATGTTGATGATATGAGTGATGAATTATTAGCTTGGATTGCAGCCTTCACTTTCAGTTCTCTTGAAATTATAGACTATTACAGTGAAAAAATTAAACCTGCTAAATTCAGGGTAGAAAATCATAGACTCTTGATGCCTTGACAATGGAACTCCTCAATTCCTACTGTGATATCAAATATTCCATCCTTCTTTATTTCCATACCTTTGTTATTGGTTTTTGTTGATATATTTATATATATGAAATACATTTTTAACTCAAATCATAATATTTCATATACAATATAAAACTATAAAAAAGGGAGTTTGAAACTCATTGGTTCTATTTCATGGGCCTTATCTGATTGGATAATAAAACAAAATATAAAAGTCAATTTATGCGAATCAGGCCCCTGGGTTCTGACAGTGAATCAGATGAATACAGGAATTTCTCACAAAACTACACATCTTATTCTCGTCAAGTTAAGAACAGATTACACAAATTCAATTCATGCTAATTGAGATTCTATAGGATGTTAAAAATGCAATCTTTGGAACACATATTTAAGAAATCACTTTTAATTTACATTAAATATATCACAATATAGGTGAATAAAATATGTCTGGTTTAACAAAGAAACTTGTAAAATGTATATATTGCTAAAAAACATAATCTGATATTTATTCTTTTAGAATGCTGAGAGGAAAATGTATAACATAGTTGTGTCCACTTAATTAATATAATAGTCTATGTTCAGAGTTTTCAATTATGTTTTATCTGTAACTCAATATCAGCATATTAATTGTTAGCAATGCTCTAAATATCACTTCATGTAGTCACTATTATCACAATTCATACAACACAAAGATTAAATTGGCTCCACCATTTGCCATCTATTAGCGAACTGACTTCCCATTTCAAGTTGTTTCCATGTTTTACGATGTGTTTTCAAAGCCATCTAAAATTTTAAAAAAAGAAATCATTTAAGTTGTTATTCTTTATGATTTTAATGCATTGAATTTTATTTGACTTACATTATTATCTAGGTCATCATTAAAAGGATTCAATCTTTGTATTGGGGATTATTTTGTATCTATCTGAACCATTTAGATTTCATATCCACAGTTTTGTATTTCCAGAAAAACTTTATTAGTGCAAGCCTCCCTGATACATGTATAATTCAGATAGAAAATCTGTTTCCATAATAATCTATTATTGACTTACATCAGCAATCTCAACCTTTCTCTCCCAACTTTTTACTTTCTTCTGCAGATCATACAAATCAGCTTTTTCTGTTACATATTCCATAACTGCTGGAACTTTATAATCAGCTAACTGTTGACGTAATTTTTTATTGATTTTTTCAGCCTTTAATCTCTCCTAAAACAGGGAAAAATAAAATATAATAACTACTATGCAGGAAATCTCAAACCACACAGTCCTGCATTATTTTTTCCTCCCTGTTCATTGACACAACAGGCCAAGATAATATTATGTAATAGAGGGCGACTCATTCAATGAACCCGTCAGAACCATAACCAATTGAGTGTACCTATTGAGACCATTATTTCTCAAAAAGGTATATAGCATATTATATCTCACCTCTTCTACTACAGTTGTTTCTACATCAATTCTAGATAATAAATCATTTCTAGAACTTATTTCAGATTTCAATCTTTCAGATTCTTTCTCTAATGTATGTAACTTTTTCTAGAAAAGTTAAATAGATTTATAAGCTAACTAAAGGATGATAAAACTGAATTATTTTTTTTTTCAATATTCATTTAGATTCAATTTACAGTAACCATGGGCTTGCTGTTAATATTTGAAATATTTGTGTCGGTTATCAAATTAGATATCAGAAAAGTTTAAGACCGTTGGGTAATGTAAAAAAAATTAGTTTGTAGGTAAAAGGTAAAAAAAAAATTTTACCTGAAAGGCATTTCTGACTTGTGTTGTATTTCCTGCCATCATTTTTAATCTCAATAAATCTTGATTTCTCTCATCTATTTTTTCTAAATACTGTTGATTTTCTATTTTAAGTTGATTAAAATCTACTTCATGTAAAACTTCACCCATTTCTTCTTTCTAGAATGTTTGAAACAATCAGAATCAGAAATGTTCATAAATTATATTAATATTGATATTCATTCTGGTTATCTGGCATATAACCAATATGTTTCATGATGGAAATTGTGTAAATTGATTTGATATTTAAAAAACCATTGGCATAAAACAATGAATACCTGTTTCAATTGAAGATGTAGTTTCTTCTTTTGTACTTTTAATGTTGAATTTTTCAGACGTAATTTTTCTATTAAAGTATCCTGAAAGTGATGCAATTTATTTAATAATAATGATCAATTAATAATACAATAAAATGGTTAAAATTTCTTACTGCAAGATAATATTCAACAATAAAATATCTCAATGTCCAGCTTGACTAAATCTCACTAGTAGGCTGGTGATGACTACAATAAATTGAAAATATTGGCTAACAAGAAAATAATAGTATTTGCATGTGCATTGTGAAAAGGTGGATTTTCTTTTCTAAATGTTGGCAAAAATCTTACCCTTGATCTTAATTTATCTTCAAAATAACGAATGACTTTTTCAGAGACAACTTTATTTGTTCGTGTGTTCACTGCACCTTTAACAATATCCCTCTCAAATTCATAAAATTCTTTCTTCATCTCTGCTAAACGAAGGTCAGCCTCTTCCATAATAGCCTGTAATATAGATAATTACCAATTTAAAATTAGAACAGAGGGTCAATGACATGATGATGTAGCTAATTACAGAAATTACAAACTCTAGTTTACAAGACAAATGGAAACTTCAATGTAACGTAGGTTGTAAAGTATGATATTTTCAGTTAACACAGTAACAAATCGCCATCTAAGCTTATAGATTACTGAAAGATCAACTTACTCTATAATTATCTAGAATTTTTTCAGAATCTTCTCGAACTTTTTCATTGTCTTCCCTCAACTCTTCAATTTCTCTTTGTGAAATATCACATTTTTGTTCAGCTGTTAGTTTTAATGAACGATCTATATTACTACTTCTAGATTTAGATCTCTTTCTACCCATTCCTCGCAGTTCTTGTGTTGATGTAGATGGTGCCAGACCAGATGGTGGGTGAACTGACTGAAGAAGACTTCCAGCTTCTCCTTTTGGTTCAACTCGTTTGAGATATTTCTCAAACATATGTGTTTCGGCTGAGAGAATTTCATTGTCTTCACTAAAAAATTGAATAAATTGTGATTTAATTTACTTCCAACCACAGGCCTACTCTTTTTAAGTAGATTTATTAATGACTGGGGTTCAGCAGTGCCATGTGTATTGAATAGTAAGAAACAAGATTTAGGCCTTATTTATTAATTAAATAGGCCTATTTGGGTGCATCTTTTCCATGTATTGGTCAACAGTCAACTTGTCATACTTAATAGAAGCAAAATTACTGGCAAGTGTCCTACAATTTGTTCTACTTTGTTCTGCTAGTTTGTAAGCTAGCTGTTACTGTTGTCTGTAATGTTTGTTTGTTCTTGGCAGGAATTAAATTGGCGAAATGACCACTAAGTTAGGCTATTATTACTGTCTTTGCATTTTTACTGATTATTGTTAGGTTAATCGGAATATCAGTTTCAAAACTATTTATTTTATAACTGATGTTTTGATTGAGTAAACTCAATTTAACTATGCTCATGAAGTCGTGTTGCCAGCTCTGACAGATTAAGGATTGGCTGATTGCTTTATGTTGCTACATACTTTTTGCTGGCAATTTTTTTTTTACAAAACATTAAATTTCATCGATCTAGTTTAATGTTGAGTATTTGTGGTTGAAATTTTGCAAGTCAAATTTCACAATGCATAAATTTTGTCAGCTGTTTTGCCCAGTGTTTTAAAAATAGAAAAAAGCTTACTGTAGGTATATATCTGAGCAATAAAAATAGATACACTTGTGCAAAATAGAGTGATAACATTATAAAAAAAAAATGAGAACCCGCTTGACTTTGATAGCTGAGAATTCATAAATAAATAGGAGCAAACACGTGATAGTCTAGTCCGAAACATCTGCCTCTATTCCAGCCTATGATGGATATTTTGACAGTTGTCAGCTGGAGTAGAGTCAAAAGAAAATGTTAAATGGGGATTTTCCACAACTCCAAAATGCGTTTTCTCTAACATAATATTGAATTACCTTTAAGATGATTGTAAATTAGTGTTAGACATCAATGTAACTTTCGTTTTGTTAGTACCAAGTGACTCTGTGACCTTTGAACTTTTGGCTGTGCACGCAGTTTTAAATGGCCGATTGTAGATCAGTTTTTCGCGAAAAAAAAAAAAAACTTTGATGAAACCGGGGACATGACATATTCATCTTTCCAAATATACCTTTTCAGATCCAAGGTATCTGAATAAGTTTAAAACCCCCGCACCTGTGGAGATGCAGAATGTCGCCATTTAACAAGGCTTATTATTTCTGTCTCAACACCAGCTAACATCTGTCCAAATAGCTATCAGAGGCTGGAATATAGACAGATGTGTTGGTCTAGTGATAGTCACATGATTTAGTGTAGCAGACGTCCACATACAACTTTCATAGATATCTTTATTTAATCCTTTTCTATCAAAAACACACTAAATTGGTTATAGATCTAGTTTTGAATTCATTTTTACTGAAATAATTGTTATAGGTGTTATAGAAGATACTCTCCTATAGAAGCACTGGCCTAGGTCACAAGTAGAGACTATGGATTTCAACATGAAAACTATTTCAATTCAAACAGAATATGTTTTACTGAAGATTATTCATAGATTATTACTTCTGGAGAAATTACAAGAAAAAATATATTCAACTCAAATTCCAATGCAATTGTTTCAGCTAGTTGATGAAAGGGGTTCTAATTGTATAAGACTGTTTGTCTGCCAGGACTTGATTCCAGTGTAGTAACAAGAAAGCTGACTGTTTGTTCATAATATTTAAGCAGAAACTGATGAAATCAGTGAAATATTAACTGTGTCCTGGCTACAGTCAGCAGAAAACTTCTAAGTGGGCCATATTCTTATGTTATTTCAGTGACTTAGCAATAAATCACGCTACGTATCTTATTTTTCAGTCGATCACTATTAAAATCGTGGTTCTTTGAAGGAATTGTCACTAGTTATAATGAATTGTTATTAAAGATAAATACTAAGAGAAGTTAATTATACCACTGGGTATCGATACAACATGTTTTTCTAGACTTATTTATAGATCAAACATTGTACACGAAAATAGGTGACGCATTCTGCCGCCGTTGCCGAGTCGGTTGCTCATGAAATATGGGTCAAAGTGAAGGATTCATAAAGAAAATCGAAATAAACCAATTTTAATTATTTTGTAAAATATTTGAGGAATCATCTAAGACATAAACAAATTTTCTTCGTTTTTTAACTTTGTCGAAATTCGGTGTTGAATCCTTATATCCACGAAAATAGGTTACACCACTGTAAGCTTAAAGTGATACTACGTCTTAGAATACACTCGCCCTGTGGCTAATATTTGTGTTTAATAGTGACCATTGGTTAAATAAGTATGCATCCCAACTTTATCAAATTTGAAAAATCGACAATTAAACTATAATCATAATTTTAAAAAAAAAGTGAGCAAGCCATGAATCCGTTCAGTTTGAGAAAAAAAGAGTCTGGGTAATCAACGATAAAACAGGAAACAATCATCTTCTGGTGTATACAAACAAACTTTGCCAATGATTAATATTTGTTGAAAATTGTGTCAGTGGTGGAGTATTCATTCTAAATTATATTAATTGCTTTTTCGAGGAGTCGCTAAGTAATCTCCTACAAGGCATCATTATTCCGTCTTCAAAATATGACAATGTCGAGGTCAATTCAAGAGTAGAGGTCAAGGATGCGGGAAACCCCACTTGAGAGTTACTTCCCCTTGAAAATTACACCGGATTTCCTAGACTCACGATTTGAAAATCGCTTAATGGATGTATTAAACGTTTTATTATTAATTACTAGATTTTGTGGATATATCGGATTATAGAGGGATTTTGATGTATAGTTAAGACACCAGGTGAGTCCACTGATGGATATATACTGTTATTGGCCAAATTTGAGCAAAATTAAAATTTTATGTTCATCCTAAGACATCCCTTTAATATAATAAGGTTCATTGTCATTGATTTCAGACTGAAATTTCCCCTCTTCAAAATCATGTTTGCCAGTGATCAAAATTTTCATCAACCCAAAAGGCAATCCAAGACTCTCTGTAGTATTTTGTAGTTGATATTTCCATTCATTAGTAGGAAATGATTTCAAAAATTAAATTCAATATCAATTATATAGCAGACTGCAGATGTACAGAGAAGAACTACGAGAGAGAAGAGCTGTAAATAAATGATTCAACATGAAGGGTCTGATCAAACATACAATTACAAATCTATAACTTACATCGTGTCATTAACTAACTGAAATAATTTTTCATCAGATAGTTCTAAAAGAGGATCTTCTCCAGTATCATTGCTTGTATCGACACTCAGTGTTTCGGACTCGGCCATCTTGCTTGTTGTGTTGCTACGATAAACATCCGGGCTATTTATATCTCTACTATTCGACCGATAAGCCCTAATAAGACCAGTCTAGTGCGTTCGAGCTGGCATTAAATTCTTCCTGATTAAGGCGTAATTTCGAAGAAAATGGTGCGATATATAACTTAGAGATATAATTATATCATATTGGTTATTTTTCATATCTTATGCAAAATACTGTACTCGATTGAATTTAAAAGGTCAATTAAGAGGAAATTCTACACTCCTAACTGATTGTGAAAGTTTATTTATGAGCTACCGTGATATATAAATTCAGTAATGTGTGTCACACGATGAAGTTTCCGGGTCAGTTTTAGTAGCAGTTTCGCTGTAGTATACGGACAACTTGTGATAAACATGCCTTCTAAACTGATGAACTGTCGATTTCCGAGAAGAAATGCTACTGTAAGATTATTTTGTTTCCCATGGGCAGGAGGAGGATCAAATTTTAATGCCAACTGGGGATCAAGTATAAATGAAAATATTGAAGTGGTTGCAATACTTTTGCCTGGAAGAGAGTCGAGATTTACTGAACCACCTATCAGAACTATGTCAGAAGTCGTGGATGTTATCACCAAGGCAATTGTTAGTCAATATTCGGCTAAGCCGTTTGCTTTCTTTGGACATAGCATGGGTGCTCTTCTATCGTTTGAGATTGCAAAAGTTTTAAAGGAAAAACACAATATGCAACCAGTGAAGATGTACGTTTCTGGAATGTCCGGACCACGAGAAGACAAAGATAAGGACACTTCCAAGACCCAAAAACGGGTGTGTGAAGCCACGGATAAGGAATTTATCGAATTTTTGCGAGGGATGGGAGGTACACCAGACGAGATACTGAATAACGAGGAAATAATGGAGGTATTTCTACCAGTGTTACGGGCTGATTACGGTATGGTAGATGATCATAAATTTGAGTTGCCCCCAAGTCCTACACCAATGTTGACTTGTCCGGTTGATGTTTTCGGGGGTAAGCAAGATTCTGATCGAGATTATGAAGCCTGGAGACGAATAACGTCGGGAAAAGTGAATGTTACGATGAGAGATGGTGGGCATTTTTATTTAAAAGAAAAGAAAAATACAGAATTCTTTTATAATTTGATAAATGGAGATTTTTAAAACAGTTTGACATCAATAACCACTGTGCATGAAAAAAAATTGTTTCATATAAACCGGAGTATTTATATAACATCGTATGTTTTGAATAGGTGAATATAAGCAGAATGAGACGTATATGAATGCCGCAGGGCTAACAGGGACGTTATAAATTGTGTTTTCCGACAACTGTGACAGTGATATAGAATACAAGATTTTTTCATACTCTATAACATAATAAATTTAGTCCATATAATATAACAGAATCTCAATGTGAAACCGGCGGTAACCCAGTCCCTCTTCTATAGTAAAATCCCTTTACTATGTGATCAATTCTCGTTCTATTTCTTTGAAAAGGTTCTAGTGGTTCTTTCAATCTTCGTCCATATTCAGAAGAAGTTAAAACAGGAGATGGTCTCATCGTTTCCTGGAATAACAGACGATAAATGAAGATTTAATAAAGCTGCTAACGATATATTTCCACCCGAATTGCGAGATGAAATTAAATAGAGTTCTACACCCCACCATTTGGCTAATGAAAACGGACACCGCCTGGTCTTGTGCAATGGGGGAACTTTTGTCAGGATAGCAGCAATAACCTACTCATGTTCGATTTCCAATCTTGATGGATATAAGCTATTTTTGAACGGAACAAAAAAAAAAAGAAAGAAAAGAAAAAAAGAAGGCATCGTCGGTAACGAACCTCGGCATTCATAGCAATTCCAACTGTTATGATATTCTTCCTATCATCTCTGTGTAATTTACTATTGTAGCCTGGTTGTTGATGGAACAAACGCTCATAAATTGGTAAGACTTCGGCCTGCAAAAGAACTAAGATCAGTTGCACTAGAACTTATAAATACAGGTCTAGTCTGTTGGAAGGAACCTTTAGCGTAACATTTCCTACACCAGAACACCTTTGTTTCAGAATCATTTACCGTGTTAACATGAACATCTGAATATATGCTGAAGCTGACAATAGAGTTCGAGATATTTGTTTCACTTTTTGTGAATCTGTCGTTTTGAAAATGCACGAGGGACTTATTACGTCACTCCCACCATTTTTGTATTGGAGATAAATCGTACGTCGGATTTCCATTCTAAAAAGTGATGTGCATAGCAGTGACGGATCCCAGTCAGTTAAAACAATAGTTTATCGACTTTATCATAAGGTGACACTCTTGAAAAAATGTCTGGAAAGTAGTATGGAAATTAAACAGTCCGATTTATATTTCTCACTATCAAAATATAATAATGTATGCAATTCCCTGCATTGGTTTTACATTTTTGTTATGTGATCTAGCTAAATAAAGATTCAAATTTGACTTTTCTTTGGCCACATGCCACATGTGATCATATAAAATATTTCTTAAAGTTTAGAGTTCTAGTCAATTTCTCACCCACTTGTTAACAACCCGTAGAGAACAAAAATCGAATGGATGTGACAACATGCCAACAGCCTTTGCATGGTCTAAATATGTTTATGCCTAAATTATATTCATTAGTTACAGCCCATAGGCCATGGCTTTCAACCTGAGGGTAATTACCCCATAAGAGTATTTTTTTGAATATTTGGAAAGGGGGGAGTGGTGCTTTGCAGCCTAGCATGATATTAGTGGACAGTTATACTTTAAGACGCTCTATGCAGTCAGGCTACATTCTCTGACATGAAATAAAAGATTGCAGGGTTAATTTAAGAGAAAATCAGGTACGAATAGGGGCTAGGGGGTAATCTTTGATTTCAATAGCCACCTTTCTTGTATCACAAATGCACAGATTTGATTAGATTGAAGAAAAAGGTTGAAAACCCCCTGACCTTGGTTTAAAAAAAAAACCGACATGTACGTCAGTGAAGCCTTTTATGTAAACAAAAGAAAAAAACTCTAAACTAATCAGTCAACTACAAACCACCGTGTTTCGGGTTCTTGGTCCATAATAACTGCCATATTGTTTTCGAGCATCTTCCGAAGATAAATATTCCATACCCTTCCAATAGCCTGAATCATCTCCTCTATTGGCCAAGTGTTCTTTTGCTATAATGTCAGTTTTCTGAAACAAATGATCCCATATCAGATAATTTCTAGCTCCAGCAATAGGCCAATAAGCCGGGGGTGCTGATCGCTTTTTCAATGCGGGGAAGGGGGGCGTACGCAGGATTTATTCAAAAGGGGTCGGACAGTATTATTGCAGAGTATAGCGACATGAGAACGTTTCAGTTGAGCTGGTGACACCGTATCTTTATAGCTCTCAGAAATATTGTAGAAAGAAAGGCACCTTCTTGCACCCCCCCCCCCCCAC